CCCATGATAAACCCATTATTACCAGTTAGTTGTCTTCAAGTGGATTCCAACTCATGATGATCCCATTAGTTAATTAAATGATATAACTAGATTCCCTGGGTGGTACAAATGGTCAATGTGTTTGACTGTTAATGAAAGGCAGACAGTTGAAGTCCACCTGGCAGTACCTGGGAAGAAATGCCTAGTAATCTGCTTGGGAAAAATCAGCCATTGAACACCCTAAAGAGCAGTGTGCTACTCAGGCCCGTGTCAGGTCACCTTGAGTCTAAATCCACTCAACGGCAAGGGTTCTGAATTATTATAAGAATTATAAAATACAGAGAAAGAATTTTCAAGTATGTCTCATACCTTCAAGGGGTTAACAGAACTTGAGAAATCCATGTGGTAACTATAGTACTGGTACTTCTAATCCATTCACAGCCACTGCCTAAACAAACTAAGGAATACCTTTAATTGCTATTAGAGAATTTTAGTTCTGTACAGAGTAGCCACAAAATCTAGAAACATGGATAAATCTACTTTATCATTTACTGTTGTGGTTATGAATCAGGCTGCTAATCTCATGATCAGCAGTTCGAAACTACCAGCTGTTCCTCAGGAGAAAGATGAGGCTTTCTGCTTCCGTAAAGATTTACAGCCTCAGAAACTTTATGCATGGTCGCTATGAGTCAGAACCGACACCACGGCACATAACAACATTTTTACAAACTAGATGGCCACTTGTTTTTATGTATTTCATCATCTATATTTTAAGAGCTACATCAATCAGGGCATTCAGTTATTTGTCCTAACAAGGAACTATTAGTCCTGATGTTCATGAAGTAAATATAAAAAGCAATGGAAAGCAAAGTTACAAGATTACAGGGAAATAATGGCTTCTCTCTACAAAAGTATTCATGAGGAGTCCTGGTGGCACAACAGTTAAGCATTTGGCTGCTGACCAAACCCCTACAGTGACTCTGGGTGAGAAAGATCTGGCAATCTGCTCCCATAAAAATTGTTGTTGTGTACCATCAAACCAGTTTCGACTTACAGCAACCTGTATAGGGTTCCTGAGAGCAGTAGTTTGGTTTGAACTGTCCACCTATGGTCACCAGTCCAATGTTAATCCTACAGTGCCACACAAGAAAACCAAATGCGGCAGTTCTCTGTTAAATAAGGTTGCTATGAGTCAAAAATCAATTCAACAGATCCAACAACAATGACACAAGGCATTCATAGCTGTTTTCTCTAGGAAATAGAGGAACTGGAGATTTATTTACCCAACATCTATCAAAATTAAAAGAACTTTCTGCAGAAAGGCAGAATGATCATTTTTAATTAGTCACTGATTAGAAATGAGGAACTGCTACAGGGAGGAGGATGGTGAAGCCTTTTCAACGTTCAAGGAAGAAACATGTTACTTACATGTATTTTTTTCATTGCAGAATAAAGACGAGGCTTTCTGCTCTCACAAACATTAACAGTCTCGGAAACCATGGAGTCAGTTCCCACTCATAGTGACTTTGTATAGTGCTTCCAAGGAATGACTGGTGGGTTTGAATCATCAATCTAGCATTTAGCAGTCCAGTGCTTATCCTATAGCATCACACCAGGACTCTTATTGGGTCCCTATGAGTCAGAACCGACTCCAAGGCACTTAACAACAACATTCTACTACAGGTTCATCTGTTTAAAACAAAACAAGAACCTAAAACAATGATTAGAACGCATAATTCAAGAATTCACTCCTTTGAAAATCACAGTAGGAAGACACCTAACAGACTCTAATCAGTCTAGTATAAACTATCCAAGGGCTAAAGCCCCAGGTAACTAAATGACCCCATGCTTGAGTCTGTGCCAAGACTATAAGACCAAGAATTAAACCCTGTAATTGTGAACAAGGATAGGAAGATGTTAAAAAATAAAAACGAAATATAGTAGGCCAAGAAACACACAGTGCTTGTCATTCATTAGACTGAAAATTAGGTTTCTGTTGTAAAATAAATTACTGTTTACTTAATAAAGCAGCTCTGGTAGCGTAGTGATTACGAATCGGGCTGTGAACCTTAAGGTCAGCGGTTCGAAACTACCAGCCGCTCCGCGGGAGAAAGATAAGGCTTTCTACTCCCATAAAGATTTACACCCTCGGAAACCCTGTTACAGGGTCGCTATGGGTCGGAACCGACTCGATGGCACTTAACAACAACAACAAAGTACTGTTTATTCAGTAACTCTTACAATGCAAAATGGAATCTTTTCCTTTAAGTATTAGTAATACAATTATATTTTATAAATGCTTAACATGTAACTATGGCCTCTTTTGGGGAAGAATTTGCAAAGGGTCTCATCAGGTGAACTAAAATATGTTGCATATAAATATTAAAAGAAAATGATTACATGTTTATAATGGCATTGAAATCCAAGACTAAATTTATTTAGAAAAGAATAAATAAACCAAAGAAATAAAAAATAATGAAAAAAAAACCTTTGCATTGAAAATGACAAAATTTATTACAAAACATTTAGATTAAAATATTTGCTTGGAATGTAATAATTTATAAGAAGCACACTTCTTGTGTACTTCGCTGGTGTGGCACTGTGGGATAAAGCACTGGACCACAAGGTCGGTTTGAATCACAAGATTGACAGTTCAAATTCACCAGTTGCTCCTTGGAAATCCTATACAAGGAAATCCTATACAAGACGGAACTGACTCAACCGCACTTAACAACAACATTTCTTAATTGAAATTATAATTTGAAAATGCCATTGATCAGACTGAAAATTAGAGTAAGTTACTTAAAAATAAAATCTTTGCCTTTTTAAAATTAGCATTGTAAAATAATAAAGCAACTAAATACATCTGAAGTTTTCCCAAGTGTATATAAATGACTTTTCATGTTTCTGACACAATAAATAACCCCAGGGTACAGTAGAACTTCAAGAATCAATCAAAATCCTTCTCAAGAGGTAAATCTAGAAGCACAGTTCTTAGCTGCCAATTTTACATACATATGCATTCAAATATACTAATATATACTACATCTTAAGACAATTTAATGATTCATTACAAATGTTAGCATTTGGTTTCCTGGGCTTTAAATTGCTTCCTTAAGATTAAAACAGAAAATCTGATAAAGAAATTTCCCCTTATAATTATGAAACAGCTCCAATACAGAGGTTTTGGAATATGTTTAAATTTTCTTTAACACCAGTAAAACACTGGTAGTGCAAGCTTAATAATAAAACTATTTGACTAGAAATGGCTGCCATAAAAATATTTGTATCTTCTGCAGATTTGTTATTCACAATGCTGATGTACTGATAGGTTAGTCAAATCTCGATTTTCCTAAAAATGACTTCTATCTTAATCAAATTATAATTCATTATTCAGTGGTCTTAAGAGAAATTGCAACAATTATGCTTACACAAAAAAGAAAGGCCTTGGAATTGTTACACTTAAAATTTAAACATATTGCCATGTAAGTAAATATCATTTTACTTCACTTTTAGATCCATATTTTAGCAAAAGTGATAAAAAATGCATAAGATGTACCAAAAAATTAAAGTTGTCAATAATAGCACTTCCCAACAGTTCAAATATATTTTTTAATTTTAATTTAATCTTGAACTGTACTCAAGAGAACAAGTAAGTGTGGGAGAGAAGAGAGTTTAGAACTTTGGGCGATGCTCCTGTAGACCAACATTTTAAGAAACACGGTAAGTGGCTGCGTCAGGCTGTGGGCTGCTAACGTCAAGGTCGGTAGTTCAAACCAACCTGCCACTCAGTAGAAGAAAAAAAGACGTCCGCTCCCATAAAGATTGGCAGTCTCCGAAACCCTATACAGGGTCGCTGTGAATCAGAAACAACTGATATGTATGTAGTTTAATTCAAACATTTTAGAAGCTGTTGAAAACGAATTCTGGACAGTTCACCACAAAGCTGAAAAATGGGTTATCATTGTGAATGCAGAAGTAACCCTCCTTTCCTTTAATAAAATTATGCTTCTGGCCCAACAAGGGTTGTACATTAGTAAAATGCCTGTTTACATTATGTTGCCACTTACCAGGTTGTTTCTACAGCCAATCCTGTCTTAGTGCACACGTTCTCAAACACTTGAGAACTTAAGAGGGGCCACACCTATCAAACGTCTCTACAAAGTTCAGCATATCATTAAGTACCACAGACATAAACATTACGTAGGCAAAACAATTAGCAAATGTAGCACAGAAATCTAATGTGCTTTAATGTTATTGAACTGTGGTCATAATATGTTTGAGGGTTTTTTTGTTTTTGTTTTAACTTAACTTGCAAATTGATGTCAGAGTGACTCTTGCCCCATCAAAGAGAAAACAAGAACCGACACCATAAAATCTCTTTAAACTTTGCCACTACTTATTCCTCTGCGAGAATTTTAAAAACTAAGAGTTTTCCCTAAACAAAACAAACCGCCTGGGTAAATGTCCAGATCTAAGCCATCAAGTAGCTGTATCGTGCGAGGGTGGGTCATCAGGACATCAGATCACGGAAAATCACGGAAACAGCTGCAATTCGTCTTGTGCACGACCCACGCGTTTAAAAACAACTGTTCCCAGCGGTAACTGAAACACCCCCCCACTACCCCCAAGATGAGCAAACTCTAGGCGCAGGGCAGCGCGCGCAGGACGTGTGCCCGAGTACAGATGTGAACTCCGAGGGACGCGCAGGACTGCGGCCAGGCGACGTGGAAGGTCCGTGAGTGAGCCCGCCGCCAAGGGGCCTGGCGGGCCGCGACCGCGCCGGGAGAGCCGGGCCACCCTCGCGTACACACACACACACACACACACACAAGCAGGCTGCCCCGCCGAGCAGGGTGAGGAGGACCGCCATCCGCCCCCCGCCGAACCCGAGGACCCAGACGGAGTCCCAGCCCGGACCCCTCCTCTGAGGCCCCTGGACCCAGGCTGAAGGGAGCTGGTTCAGGAGTTCGCAGCCCCGAGCCCACATTCCCAGCAGGGTCGCCAACACGCGAGGACACTGACCGCTCCAGCCGCAGCAGGTTCTCTCGGGGCTGCCCCCTCCTAGGGGGCTCCCGTCCCGCCCCACGCCGGTGATCACAACAGGACGCCTTCTCCAGCTCCAACCGATAGGGTGTCGGGTACTTTCGACAGTGGCAGGACTCCTTTTGCTTCTTCCCGGCCCCTGTGAGGTAGTTCCCGGTGACGGCAAGGGACTCGCAGACTGCAGCTTACAGTTGAGGTTTGAAAAGTGCAGCGGCGTCCCGGGGCAGTGCTCTTCAGTAGGTCCCGCCCCCTCAGTCGGGCGAGCCAATCAGCGCGCGCGGATTCCCGGGCTGTCACGTGAGGGTCTGGGCGGGGCGTGGGTCTGAAACACGTGCTGCTGGGCGGGGCCCCAGCGGGGAGAGGGTGTGGCTCGCGTCGGCGGGGCGGGAACCTGGGCGGTGCTGCGGAGCAGGTGGGACTCTGGAGTCAAGGCAGCGAGGGAGGACAAGAGCTGGAGCCTGTAGCTGAGGAGCTTCGCTCAAGGCTGTTGCTCTGTCTCCTTGTCTTCGGAGAGGCCAAGCCACGAGATGTGATTATCCAGAGGTTGGGGAGAGGAAGAAGGAAAGTTCGCCCCAGCTGCTTCGGACTCATTAACAAACTTCTGTGCCTACCAAGGACCTGTTTTCTGACCCTTCCTTGTCATCTCCCATATGACCTAGAGCCAACCACGAAGTGGAGAGCTGTCTCAGTTGCTACAGCTGGACAGATGTTCCTTGCCCGGATGCAAGGAGCTCAGGTTGTAGGACCAGCCTAGCACTAACGCATGCTCCAGTGAAGGGTGCCCTACTGAGTGAGGCCTGGCTGAAACAGTGTAGGGAATGCCCAAATAGAACGAATTGAAAATGAAAACCTGCAGCAAACGACTGACGGATGTTACCCTGAGAAACAGAATGAAAAATCGTGTGCAGGACACAACTGCCTTTTATCTAGGATTGGTTGCTGAGCATAAGAGTGTTTACACTAACTATAAAAACTATTGGAAACAGATAAGGGGTGGAGTTTGTCCTATTGTTGTTTTTGTTTTTGTTTTAACTTTTAACTTTCGGTCAACATTTAAAGAGAGTTTCTTGTTCTCTACCGCTAAGCCCGAGCAACTCCCATCAAGCTGGCCTTTTGCCTTTCTATACTATTTTTCTCAAGGTAATTGCATAAAATGCACCAACAGCCATTTAACAAAGATGTTGTGCTATTGAATGGGTTCCAATGCATAGAGATCCTGTACTGAGGAGTGTCTGAGGAGCGGCTGGTGGGCTTAAACTACCAACCTTGTGATTAACAATCCAGTGCTGATCCTACAAGCTACACCAAGAGCTGTGTTGTTGTTGTTGTTAAGTGCCATCGAGTCGGTTCCGACCCATAGCGACCCTGTACAGGGTTTCCGAGGGCGTAAATCTTTACGGGAGTAGAAAGCCTCGTCTTTCTCCCGCGGAGCGGCTGGTAGTTTCGAACCGCTGATCTTAAGGTTCGCAGCCCGATTCGTAACCACTACGCTACCAGAGCTGTAACTGATCCTAATTTGTCCACCTATAAACCTTGTAACCTAAAGAATATTGTTTCTGTCTGTCTGGTTTTTCATTAATAACCATCAAGTAGACTAAAGAGACCTTCAGTTAGTATGGAAACCAACACAAGCCACACACTGAAATAGAATTTTCAGGTATCAATATTTAAAACTCCACAAACCAAAGAGACTGTTCCTTCTTTTCTTTCATGAACATGAGTGCCACATCCCAGGGGTCTCTGCACAATCACTGAAACCAGTAACCTCTCAGGGTCAAAGGATTGCATTATTCCTGTGGTTTTGCTTTTTAAAACTCTGCACCTCATCAGTTCTAACGTTTGATCAACCACCACTCTTAGTAATCTTCTCACACTCAACATGCCTTCCTCTGGCACTAACTGAGGCCATGTCATTTCATACCTAAATGCAGACCTTTCTCTCTCCATCACCACTTTAAACCAATCTTTGTTGTTATAATCCCTCTGATGTAATCCACTAACTTTTTGATGGTATTTTCATGTCTTGCATTTTCCTACCTCTGTCTTGCCTCTAGCTTTTCACCATCCTCAATATCACATGTTAATCAATATGCAACTATCAAAAGGTTACCTTCTCTAGAAATCAAAAATTTGTTCTCACTAACTTCCTTTTCTCCTCCCAGCCTGATTGCATCTTTGCCTTATGCTTAAATGCAGGACTTGTACTTTCACCACATGGATCTCTTATGCTTCTAAATAGATTGTTGCCCCTTGTACCTGAAGCTAGACTTAGAATCTAAGATTTGTCACACTATCCCACTATAGATGCTTGATCTCAAGTCCTGTGGTGGTTCAGGTAACAAGGAATTCCTTATGTTGATGAAACTGGACTATCTGTGGCTATGCAGTGAAATTCAGGAATCAGCATATTCTATCTCACCTACTTAAGGTCATTCAATGCCATGTAAGAGGTACATGTTTTTGTTCTCACCCCCTACAGTAGAAAATGCCTATATGACCTAATGGTCATCCTGTGGTCATTGCCATATACCTCACTAGAGACAGTGGTCCTCCCCAGTCACTCTGTGTGAGTCATTACATGTGGCTGGAGGCAGCGATCCTCTTGATCACTCCAGGATAATCATCACATACTGACCAGGGATGTCACTAACACTAGGTGAGGCCCACATATGACCAGGGATGATGGTCCTCTCTGATCATGTCATTGTCATAGTCTATCTAGGGAAGGTGATCTTCCTCTGTCAAACTTAATCACCACATGCTAAGCACAGCTGATGCTCCCTAGTGACATAGTGACATATTCGCTTGCCAGAGATGCAGACAAGGAGGGTGGTGTGTTGTACAGAGAGGAAACCCTCAAGCTCAAAATTTCTTCCCTTGACATACCTGCCTCAAAAACAAAAACAAAACAACAAAACTTTACCAGTTATTTTTTATATCAAGATTCAACAATTGAGGTCAATCAGTGTGGAAATAAGCACTACTGCCCTACCCACAACTGAATAAATCAGGAATTTGTAGCCAGTCTAAAAGCAAACAGTCTCTGAAGGGGCTTGACTCAAACCTCCAGCCAATAAGGATACTCAGATGGAGGCAAGCTGGTCCAAGCAGATCCTGTCTCTGGAGGTAGAATGCTGAGTGTACTCAGATGGAGGATGTCATTTATCCATGATGCCTGTAGCATGGATCAGCATTAGAAACCCAACAGACTCTAGGAGATCTTGTATTTCCTGGCTTCCTTGAAACAAAAATTTCATTGGCAGAGGTAATATATGCAAATGTTTCTTGATAACAGTAATGACTCAGACTGGTCTTCCTCAAAAGGTGACACAACTCTTTTCTCAGAAACACTGATAAAGAACTATGGCATACACTGCTGATCAAGCCACCATGTTTATAGAGTAAACCTGTCAAAGCTGTCCAAAAAAGTAAGGTCATGCAAGTCACATATATAATTTTAAATGTTCTTACAGTCAAATTTAAAAACGTAAAGATAACTGAAATTATTTCTAATGATAGATTTGGTTTAACCCAATCTATCTAAAATATTGTCATTTCAACGTGTAGTCAATATAAAATGATCAATGTTTTCTTGTTAAGTATCTTCGAGTCAGTTCCAACTCATAGTGACCCTGTATAGGGCTTCCAAGGAGTGGCTGGTGGGTTTGAGCTACTGACCTCGCAGTTAACAGTCCAGTGCTTATCCTACATCAGGACTCCAATGCTACTATACTGTTATATTTCTCAGACTCTTTTGTTTTATTAAGTTGACAGCATACTATTTGGTACATATAGATTCACTACACTTGTACTTTGTAAACGTTATCTTCATTAAGTGATATCCTAATGTGTTTTAACTTGCATTTCTCTTTCAAGTGTATAATTTTCAATTTTCCCAGAATACCTTTTCTTTTGAAGTTATCTGTTATATATTTTATACTTATATTACATTTCAATAATAATAGATTTCATAACTTTTACAACTGAAAAAAAAAGCAGATTCACATACCAAAGTAGTTTTAAACACAGCTAAATTTTTTCCTTAATTAAATACAGTATTGGTTATTAAATTGAGATAAAATTCAATGTTCAGTTGCACTAGCCACGTTTCAAGTGCTCAGTGGTCACACATGCCTCGTTGCTAGTGTATTAGGCAAAACAGGTCTGAAGATGTAGAAATGTGTCTTCTAATTTCTTCTAAGTCCCAAATTCTTTAATGTAGTACTGAAAACCTTGTAAATCATGATAAACAAATCATCAGAGCAGTTTGGTGCTTCAAAAACTCCTTGGGGCCCCTTAGTCCAATCTCCTTGTTTTAGAAAGGAGAAAATGCAAAATAAAAGAAGTTAAGGTGCTTACAGAACATCACACAACTAGTTAGTGGAATATCTGAACAATAATTTGAGTGATGGCGTAGCGGTTTAAGCATTGGGCTGCTAACCAAAAAGTCAGCAGTTCAAGCTCCCAGCTGCTCTGTCAAGACTGAGTCTTGGAAACCCTATGGAGCAATTCTGGTAGGTCTAGTCCATCACTAGGCATTGGCAGTCGGGGTGTGTGTGTGTGTGTGTGTGTGTGTGTGTGTGTGTGTATGCTTTTTTCTGGTTAAGTGTTAATCCCAAGGTCTATTCACCTAATTATATCAGAGAAATACTTAAGGGGGGAGTCTTTAAGTTTATTTGAATAATTACTTGAATGAAATGAACAATGGATTTGCATTCCTGATAAAAGACAATGCTTCCTGGACTATTGAAGGTAGCTCCTTATACTCTGGTTTAGCTCTGAGTGGTTTAATGTTTGTCCCCCTTACCTCAGCCTGTCACTGCTTCCTCTCCTTAGAGCCACTTGACTGCACATCCACCCAGTCTGCCCCCCTTAGCATCCGGCCACATTTTCCTTTCCACAGCTGTCCTCTCCCAGCTGTCTGCCACAATTTGTTTCAGGTTGTACTTAAGAGAATTTGCAAACAAAAGTATTTGGTAGATTACTGAAGCAAAGCTGTAGAACTGCTGTTCTCCACTACAAACACTACAAACCTGGAAGCTGTGGCTCATGAGAAATTGTGTGTGTGTATGAGAGAAGGGGAGGGTGTGTGTGGGTGGGTGTGTGTTTGATGATTAACTATGTGCCA